CAACATGTTCTTCAAAGGGATTAAGCCCAGAACCTGTGTTTATTCCTCCTATGCGACGACGAGAGCACGTCTCCGTTATCGAGCGGATCCATAAACAGAATCCATTGTGCCTCACCAGTACACTGCAGCACTATACTCATCGAGATGGTACACGAACGCTGGCATAAATATTGGCAAAACATGCCCCATCCCTTGTCTGGAAACGACACCTTTTCAGCTTCTGTTAGACATCGGTTAGACGATGGTTAAAGGAAGATAGCGTTCATGCAATCCATTTTTGACCTTAGACATTGGTTAACCGATGACTTTCGAAAAACACCGGGAAAACATCGTTCATGCAATCGGCCCAAAGTATGCAAGCTTTGCAATTCCTTGGAGTTGATCTAGCTTCTACGCATTGTCCTTGGGGTCTAGACCACGAACGTCATCTTCACCATCGACTTCATCATCGTCATCGCTGTCAACGTCAAAGTCCATGAGTTCATCTTCATCAGGCTATATATGAAATTTAGAACTCATGCTATTTTTTAGTCGGTTATAATTTTTGGCAGAGCTTAATAAGTTTTTAGCTGAAATTTTGAGAACAGCATCGACTTTGGCCATTTCAGCTACGGTGAATAGAGCGGAATAGAATATTCCATCAAGGTAAATAGAGGAAAGTCTTTGTGGATCAGAACGGCTCAAGTCATCGAATAGATATTCATTTTCTAAAAACTTTTTTTTTCGAGTTTCTGCACCACTTGATTCACTATGGGCCTATTGCATGAACGATGTTTTCCCTGTGTTTTTCGAAAGTCATCGGTTAACCGATGTCTAAGGCGAAAAATGGATTGCATGAACGCTATCTTCCTTTAACCATTGTCTAGCCATCGGTTAACAAGCTGAAAAGGTGTCACTTCTAGACAAGGGATGGGGCTTGTCTTGCTGATATTTATGTCAGTGCTCGTGCACTATCTCCATCAGTATAGTACTCCACTGTATAAGTGAAACACATTGGATTACCTTTATGGAGTCGCTCAATATCAGCGATGTGCTCGTCTTCGCATAGGACGAAAAAAAACACCAGTTCAAGGCCTATTCTCTTTGAAGAATACGACGATGAAAACTTCTGCGTGAGAAACAGATTTGGAAAAGCAGCTAGTCGATCATCTAGTCGAAATGCTCCGCCCTGAACTTCAAAGTGAAGAAAGTCGTGGAAGAGATCCTTTGACTTTGCATCAACAGGTCAATAAAGGCAATAAAAATTCAGGTGCAATGGGTCACGGTCTCTGCACGAACTTGTTCCATAACTTTCTCTCGAGAGTATTTACCTCATTCCTAGTGGACTTAGTAAAAGTCATTTTCTCTTCTCCCTGGCCATGCAGTAGCGTAACTGAGTAATTGAGTCCCTAAGTAAAAAGAATGTCATGAAAGCTATTCAATTCTCAGGTTCTGCTAACCCTTTGATTTTATGCGACGTCATCGTCATCATTTCAAAGAGTCCTAGGAGATCTTTCTGTAGTCGACGCTTCTACTGCTTGTAGATGCATAAACCGAGTTTCATAGGCCATTGCGCATTTTCGTTCCCAAGTCCCAGAATTTCCCAGAAATTCCCAGAAGTTCAAACTATCAACTAGAAGTCCCAAAACAATTCTTTGCTGTTGCTGGCTTTCCTAGTGATCGGCGCCATCGACGGGTGTCATATTCGTATAGAATGCCCTGATATCAACCAGGCGGGAACAGGGGAATTCATCGACTAATAAAGGTTAGACACGAGTCCAAACCAAGTTCTCCTATTTTACAGCACTTAGAGGTCAAAATACGTCACACTAAGCCGGCAACTGTGGAAGTAACCCAATCCACATCTGCTCACACTCATGCTTTAATTTCCATTCCATCATTTGGAAGATTCGCATCTTGATGTCATGTTCCTTTTGGGCCATTTCCAGAAGATGGTCATAGAAATCCGCTTTTCTCTTTTTTGCCTTTGGCAGACTTTGTTCCGGATCAAGATTTTCTCTTGATGTCGGCACTAACTTCTCTGAAGAAGTAATGGCAAGAATTTTCAAAGCCATAGTTGATATTGGTGTAACCAAAATGCCTATTCGAAACGAATCTGGGAGTAACCAAGTGAAGGAATTGGCTTTAATATAAGTGCCGTAACTCTTGAACAGCTCTCATTTTCTTTTAGAGTTAAGGGTGTTCATAGGGAGTCATTTACGTATGAAAAAAAAAAACAGGAATTTGAAATGGAGGAAATACCCATAATCAACATTGCGTGGGAACGCAGAGAATCTTAGGCAAAACCCTGATAGACTGTGCACTAACCTGTTCGAACTTCCAGAGGCTTGCCTTCGCTGTCCGAATCAAACGGATTGTGAAGCGGACTTTTGGCATGAGGAGGGAGCACAACTTCGTTGATGTAATTGCTCAACTCATCCATTTCAGGTGGCTTCTCTCCTCCGCCCGTCTTTTTCGCCTTTTTTCGCTGCTGATCGCGATCTTGAGTAGCCTTGACCTTCAATCTGTTCCACAGCCCCTTCAATTGGTCAAGGGATCGGGTGTTTCCACTGGGGCACGAGGAATTGTAAGCTTCATGTATCTGAAATCATAAATGAAAAAAGCCTGATACTGAGATTTGAAATGCCAAATAGCCTTTTATAGGCGATCGCCCATAGTTTCTTTAGAGTAAGTATAGTATGTATCCCGGTTTCTCCCATCTCATTATACACTCACTTATAGACCCACTTTTCAGACTTCTGACTTGTCTGTGTATGCAAATCTCCAAGAATACCCCTGATATATCAGGGGTATTGAAATACATTGAAATAAATTGAAATACATTGAAATACAGAGCAGGATCAGAGAGAACTTACCATTTTCCAGGCATTGTTTTTCTTATGCATATAGTCTGCATCGTATCTTCTGCTCTCTACCTCTGGATGTTCCTTGACAATCTCCTCAAGATGAACTTCATCACCAGAAGAAAAGTTCTCCTTTTTCACTCTTTCGTTCATTTATTTCGAAGTCCGAAGTGCCACAGAAGCCAAGATGTTAGAACATGCTTTATATGCATGAGGAACGGTTAGCCATCGTCAAACCATTGGATATTAAAACATGGCTTAGGGATCATTCACGCGATCGAAAGTAGACATCGGTTAACCGATGTTTTCGTAGACAGTGTTTTAACAATGACTATCGATAATCAACGTCGAAAATAAACATCGTTCATGCAATCGGCCCAAAATCTTTGGCATGTACCCTTGCTTGTATGACTTTCCATGCAGCTCGCCTAGTGGTTCTGCTAACTCTAAACTGCAGACTTTCAGAGTGCTTGGGGGAATCCCATGGATTCCGAGAGATTTGAAGGCCTTGAGTGTCGTTAGCTGCTTCCTCGCTTCCGACGTGGTGCTAATGACAGATCGGGTGCATTCCGATATGATGACGTCATCAGATTGGGTTCTTCCATCTTGGCTATTTGTGGGGGCTGGGTGGGGTACTCGATCTTTGGTATTGAAGCGTTGCAAACGGATTACGATGTCATCAATAACGATGCTGAAGTTTCTATCTGAAGATGAGGTCTTTATGATGTCAGCGATTTCCACTCTTTCCCCATTGACGTTCCTGTGTGCATGTTGAAGAAAGCACGTTCTTGAGGTCAATCGCTTGTCGGATGGCATTTTGGAAGCACTGTACACCTACTGATCCTGTTTCAGACTGACTTCGTTCTTGTCTCTGACGGGAGCTAGTACTTCGTCGTCGATCCATGGTCTACCCGGAGCAGAGGCAGTGATTTTGATCGGTAGGCACAAGTTTTGTACGAAAGAGACGGATTGCATCGGCATGAACATGTATGTCCAAGTCATCGCGAAACAGACAGTTGACTGTTGGTGAGGTCAGAACATTGTTTGTGCATTACCGTACTAGCAATGGTCTGGGAGACCATGCACTGTACCATCGGTAATGCACAATGTTCTGATAGACCTCACACATCAACTGGTGGGGAAAATGCTGCTGTTGCAATGCAAGCATTCCCACGATCACATGAAATTGAGGAGTCCTGTGCTGCTATCCCAGCAGAAGCCTGTCCACAAGTTTGTTGCACTGTTGCTCACTGCTGTCAACAGTGCTTGGATGCTAACGGTGAACAATTTGAACATCTGTGGTAGTGAACTATGCAATTCAAACCCTTGCTTCTCCACACACTGAACATTGTACCTCTCTGAATTACTTAACATATATTTTTTATTATTAAAGTGTGTATACATTTATTTGAGACACCCTGTATTTCCCGTTTGGGAGAAGAGGGTTCTTTTGGGCACAGACGTAGTAGGAATGGACTACTACGAGGAGTGTTTACAAGGTTCTGGGAATTTGCGTGCTAATTTTTTATTAGGCTAATTTTCTTCGATATTGCATTGCAATTTTTCAACATAATCACCATTTAGCTGTATACATTTGTGCCAGCGAGTAACTAATTTTTTTCCATCTTCAAAGAACTCTTGTGGAGTACGTTCTATCCACTAATTTATCGCTGCTTTAACTTCAGATAGAGACTCAAAATGGATTCCTCGAAGAGGTTTCTTCATTTCCCCAAAGAGATGATAGTCACTGGGAGCCAGGTCTGGAGAATAGGGCGGGTGTGGCAGCAATTTCCAACGCAGATCTGACCAAACGGCCTTCGTAAGACGAGCATTGTGCGGCCTCGCATTGTCTTGCTGCAGTAATGGTCGGGAATGGAGCTTTCCTGGCCGTTTTTTTGAGTACCTCACGCAGTGGTCCCTTCAGCAAATCAGAGTAAATTTGTGCATTTATTGTGGAACCTTTTTGTAGATAATCAATCATGATTATTCCCCATCCCAAAACATCGTTATCGTAACCTTACCAACTGTTGGCATAGTCCTTGCTTTAAGCGGAGGGCCACCAGTAGGTCGCCGCCATTCCATGGACTGAATTTTTGTTTGTGGATTAAAGTAAGGTATCCAGGTCTCATCTGTCGGGATGATTCGTTGCCAGAAACTATTTTCCCCATATTGTTCCTGTAGAGCCAACAACTCGGAACAAACCTCCACACGATTGAGTGTGGAGGTTTGTTCCGCCCAACGTTCCGCCCAACGTTCGTTCCGCTCTCGTGTTCTCTCTCCAGAATTCCAATGGGTTCAATGAATTAATTCTCCATTCCTGCTGGTATCTACCGCATACTTCGTCGATCGTTGTTTGCTTATTGTCGTTGGAGGCTTTCATATGACTGATCAATTTCATGAATCCTTCAGATTTCATCACTTTAGGTGGTGGAGCCTTTGCATATCCAGGATCGTCGATGAGTTCTTTCCGCACCAGAGAGTTCAAATCACTAGAAAGTTCCTAGAGAAATGTGGGATGGGGAGATACACTAACAGATGGGATTCGCTTGTGGTCCATCATTGAGTAAATATCCTTTCGCACGCGAGAAGTCACATCCCGAGTGATGACCAGAGACTAGGAGATGAAATCTAGAATTGAGACTGTTTCCATTCGCGAGAATAGGCATTAGCTTGACAAAATTAATTCACTAGTGAAGCAAGGATCCAAGAAACAAGCTAACTTCAATATTTCCCTTTTTTCTGAGCAATCGTCTGTGAGATTTTTCAAAGCCAGCCGCTTGAAATGAAAAATCGGTGTGTCATCCTTTCTTCTTCAGATACACTTCCTGGGCACCAAATTATTAGTTTTACTCGATGATAGCTAAGCTTTTTCTTTCAATGTCGGATGCCTACCTTATTTAAAAAATCATTTGGAGCACGAAAGAAACACACGAACGTTTTTGCTATCAGTGCCTGGAGCGACTTAACAAATGCCAATATCTACAATTGCGATAAGGAAGGGTGAACAGGAATTCATGAACAGCAGTCGAGGGGTTCTTCTCAATGACTTACATCACGAAGCCTCTTGCGCCTGATACTAGTCTTCCGGATTGGGAGCCAGATTACGTATTCCCTTCTTGTGCGTGGACAGGACTTCATCAATTGCTCGACGGACAGGCATGTCATAGGTCGAGGTCCATCTTATGGTATATTTTCTATCAATTCATGAGAAGGGCTCTGCTTTTCTTCCCTGATGATGAGAAGCACAGACGTGTCAGTGGCACTATGCTTGAAGTGCCCAACGGGTTTCCCGCGTTTCCTTATAAAGTGGGGCACCCTTGCAATCTGTTGGCCAGTTCCAACTTTCAAAGCCAATTTAATGTTGTGCCCAAGGCTAAAGAGATTAGATAGTCTCAACGGACTGCAAACATTCACAATATTCTTAGCATTATCCGTGACGCAGCACATCACTTTCAGGTTCACATACCAACTTTCAAGCAGTTCTCGGAGTCTGGCTTCTATTGTATCGGCATAATGACTTTCCTTTCTGGCATCGAAGTCCCCAATGTAACTTGCTTAAGCTCCCAGTCGGGGGAAATTAAATGAGCCGTGAGAGAAAGATAAGAATTTTTTGCCAATGACGTCCATAAATCCGTTATGATAGCGAGGCTGGGTATTTGAGAGAGTTCTTTGAGGAGGTCCCTCTGCCTTTCTTCGTATAATTTGTCAATTTGAGACGACAGATGCGCTTAACTGCGAATGTCATGCTGAGGGAACCCCTTTGCCATGAGCTTGAATCTAGATTTATGCTCTAGGTATAAAGGCAGACCATTCTCTGCGATCCATCATGCGATATCTTGGTTCATAGTCCAGGGACCAGTTGCACTGGTCAGACTTTGGGAGCCTGTTTACCAACCTTTTTAAGGTTAAGTCTGACATAACGTAAAGTCTGACTTTACTGAGGCAGTGCAACTGACCCCAGGATTCGGCACTGCTTTGATTCCACTTCTCCCTTTTTACTGGATGAAAGCTATATAAGTCGTTTTTGCCCTCTGGCCCTTCTATCTGCAACAATATGGCGAAATGGTGGCAATCAAGATGATCACTGAGATTTGTTTTCTTCCCCGAATATGATGTTTTCATCTTGCAATGTACACACCACTCTATTTCATTTCCTGAGCGACGATCTGGCCATTCATTGAGTAGAAACGAAAGTACTCCCTGATAGGGCTCTTGATCTTCGATGAATTTTTTTAATGAAAATTTTATTAATCTCATTGCCCGATCAAGATGCCAAAGTAGCATTTGTCATCCTTTAAAGGTACATTCAGAGAGATTAAAAAGGTAATTCAAGCGTCCCTGTAAAAAGTTCATTTTGGGTTCACCTTAAGGTGCTACATGAATATAAAAATCGACTCTCCTGGGTCGCAATTTCGCTCTATAATTGCTATAGGGGACCTCAAGAAAAGGCCTTGGGGCCGATTGCTGACTCTCGGGTCACGTACGTGGCCATGGTCTGAGGTCAAAGGTCACGATTTGCATACCTCTTTTTGAAAATCTGCATCTCCCAACCCTTGGTCACAGAAGCGTCAAACCTGCACCATTCTCCTTGGGACTATCGGGTGACGAATAAAAAATGCCAGCATTCAGCAGGGCTGGAATGAGATCATCGGGGAGGAGATCCGCAAGTCCATCAATTTATGGAAAGTGCGATTACGTGCCATACACAACGCCAAAGGAGGACCCATTCTGCAACTTTTCAAATAAGAGGAAGCGTGATATGAAGGTTTTCGAGATGCTTCAGTCGAACAGCCGCTGTGGGTTTACTCTGTTGGGTAGAAATTTGTCGTTTTATTTCTGTCGAGAGGAAAGACTTGGTATACTTGGTCTCTGCCTCATCTGCAAGTTGAGAAATAAATGCAAAAATCTCAGCGCATTTTTTAGCGGCCACCCGGTATATCTCTACGAGACTGTAAATGTGAAAATAGCGATATTTAGCAGCAGTGGAAAAAGTTCTGTAACCTGGTAACCAGCTTACCGGGAAGGGTAGCAACCGATCGGAAAGGCAAGGCAGGGATAACAAATAAATAACTGAGAGAAGGAAAGCGAGGGGAAAAAAATAAATATCGCGAAATGAAAGAGCAGGAAGACGAGAGATAGTCGGAGTGTTTGGGATGAGAGATGGTGATGCATTGAAAGAAGGTAAATGACCACTGTTTGCGAAAAGAAAGCGG